CATGAACAACGTTACTGACGACAAGAATATAATATAACTAACAAGAGGTGCTGCTTATCCCTTTAGAGAACGGGTGTAATTGTATACAGAACAAAGAGTTCGTCAAACATTTTATTTTGGGCATTTCCTCCATGTTCGTGGGTGGGAACACCAATGTCATAGGTATGACGTCATGACAACTGATTATGTCGCCTGAGCTAATGACAAATATTACATTAATTACGCCATTTTTGACAATCCCCGTGTCATACTCTGCTAATACATGGCAAACAATAAGATTTGCATGCTTAGCTAGATATTGCTTCCTTGTCTAAGGTTTCTTTGTTCATATCAAATAAGGAATTGCGTTTATTAAACAAAGAGGTAGGCAGAAGCACATCATTTTTGTTATGTATCTATTGGATTCCGATTAGTTACTTGGTTTTAACTACTGAGGATTTTGAGATCTTAAAGGACTCAGGAATTGAACCCAAGACAGATTTATATTATTATTTTGCATCAACTTCTTTTAGTTTCATAGTCCCAGTTTCTATTATACTTACGGAGTTCGTATTAGACGAAACGAATATACTTACGTTTGATCCTTCAACTCGAACTTTTCTTCTTTGAAGAGTAGATCAGCACCCCAATCTATCCAATGTTTCCACTCTGTTTAAAATATCCACACAACTATAAACAACATTCATCACCATTTCAAAATATTTTATTTCTGCTCTGGTCTGCGTTGCAAACTTATCAGAATTTGTTAAATCATTATCATTAGTGTTCGTTATATCTAAATTGGCGAATTCTGTGTCATAGAGTGGCTCAATGACCTACGATATGAGAGTGTGAGATAACCTAAATATTATATTGTCACTTATCTAGTGTTTATACTCAATACCTCCCCACTTATTGGCTTGCCTTCATTTGGGTGGTTTTGAGCGGTTGGATCCCTTTTTCTTAATTTTGAACTGATTTAAGAGTCTTGATATGATTTTTTCCTTTATTTCAATATCGATTATTGTAAAAGAGATACACTATCATCAGTTTATCTAAAAGGAAATAAAGTAAGTTAAAGCCTAGGAGAAATGATCAATTAGTTAAACAATTACTGAAATCCCCTTTCAATCACAACCCAATACTACTGGAAACAGAATGATCGAATCATAGTCGTAGTCGTTTTACTTATTCTAACAAGGTACCTAATTGGGAAAATAAAAATACAAATAGTAGTTACACAACGTTTATTTAAGCAAAAACTCTTGAATTCATTAAAAGTTAAAAATAAATCCAGTTAGTCACATTTAATAAGTGCAATCATCTTGAACAATCAATTTAGGTATATACAGCGTAAATAAAAAATATATTCATGTCAGCTTACGAGCTGCGATGGTTATCTTAATGAGACAATATTGAAGTTCAGATAAATTTAAAAGCACACAAGGCCAACATGGAGTACAAAAACATGTACATACCTAGTGTTATATTACAATGGGTATACATATACACGTGGCTACGGGGACATAAACAGAAACATATTAAAATTGCTAATGAATCGTTGCCTAAACTTGGCATGAAGTATGCACGAGCGCTGAATACTGATTACAGCAAATATTGGTGCTATGTATCAACTAAAACCCGACCAATTGTAAACGCTTGCGGTACTAAAACAATTCTATACAAATGGAGACATACACGACATTGGCGATACTAAACAAACGTTGGAGCAAATGTTCGTGATGCCGTGAACACAAAGAATATTAAACAATGTACAATTTTGTTTTATTGTGTTTGCTCTATTTCGTATTCTAATTTAATTCTCATTTTCATTTCAATAGTTAACTTTTGTATTTTTATAATGAATCTTACTTAGTAAGACATATTCATAGAAGACGAGCGAGCCCGGAGCCTCGGCCCGGGAGCATGTTGTAGGAACAGGTTGGGATGTGTGAGTCGTGTGCAGTGCGGTGCTCGACCCTATTGTCCCTTTGTGTAGGGATCGTAAGAATAAGAAGGGAATAAGGGATGTATTGTGTGGCGAACGGGAATCTTTCGCGACAGGTTGGTCGCTCTTTTAATTTCCGTTGGGTTTTATTTAATCTTCCCTTCAACGTCCAATTTTCCCTTCATCTCATTTTTTCTAAGGTTTAATACATTTTTTCCTTTTGATATAAGTAAGTTATTGTTAGTTCGCTCGATGTGGAAAGGGATTATAAGATATTCTTTGTAGCAGTAGTAATACAATACAAGTAGTTACACCTCTCGATAGATTCTATATCGTAGAGTGGTATGTTAAATATTTTAAACCCAAAATCCTTTGTTGAAGTAAAATGATCAAAACACGTTTATTGAATGAAAGGAAACACAAGCTCACTGCCGTCAGTATTTCAACACTCTTATACTTAATGTTGTTTGAAGTTAGTTTAAGATAATATCCAGATTGTATAATTTATCATCAGACTGGCTTATCGGCGAGACGGTGAGCACAAACATTAGTTTATTCACGAAACTATCGATACACAATAAAACTGCACACGTTGTTAGTAATCACTCGCTTGTTCAAACAATTACATCATTGTCATTAATAAAACAAAGATAGTAACGCCGGTATCACATAATGAAGCGAACTCTTTATATGAACATAATATATGTTTGCGTTAATGTGTGGTTAACGATAAACTGTGTGCGGAAGGAGTTATGATTTTATTGCCACCGCTCGCAGTGAATTTTCCTTATTTGGAAAGCTTGCAAATGAACATTTTTAAATGTGTGAAGAACAAATATGGATATTATTGCAAACATTAGCATAAACTTCAAATAGGTGTTAATGATGCAAAGTGCACAAAAATAGTTTGTTTAGTCGATGCAGTCCAAAAATACTAAAGGGGATGCACTAAACAAGTAGACAAACAAGTTGTGGCACAAAAATAAACAGCAAATCGACCCGTGAACTTTGATTAGATATGATTTGGCATTAACATTCGAAGCACAGAGTTATAGTCACGAACATGAGCCGGTGCTTGCTGGCTTGTCAAACATGACTCATGTCCGGCCAAGGCCGAGACGCCGGTGATGCCGGCCGGCATCGCTTGGCAACCGAGCCTAGTTTTTTCTTCATTTCTTTTTCTTCAATTGTTTTTGTGGCTTTCCAGTTATTATATCGCAATCGTTCTGTATTCTGCACTTAATACTTCGAAGTCAATTTTTTGCACAATAACTACTTTTACTGCCTTTTTGCATTGCAAAAAAGACGTTTATAACGACGGCGACGATTGTTAGAAAAAAATTGTTTTTCCATTTATGCAAAACATTTGTCGCGCGATAAGACACGCGATAATGAAGCCAATCTTATTTACATTGTACGACATTTTTTCATGTCAACACTGTTTTTGTTAAAAGCATTATGAAGGTAAGCTGTAAAGGAGCATTCAGTTTGAAAACGTCCCAAAATATAACTACCGATTTACGATGGTGATTCCAACGGAAGGTTCTTTTGTTCGCTCAAGTAACAACTAACACAGAGTGGTTTTTACAGAAAGAAATTGCTAACCGGCTGATGCAACTCCATTTGAAATTGCATTACGGTTTTGGAAATAATCAAAGTGTTTTATCACTGTTACCGAGGGGTTTACTGCACATTATGTTGTGCTGGGCTGCGATAGAAGTTGATAAACAATTTTATTGCATTTCCTCTATAAAATGTTTTGAATGTATTTCTGTTTGTAGTAAGTTCTCATCCTTTTTATTGTACTTCATCGAGGCAATAAATCATTGTGCTATTGTCTGTTGCCAGTTAGTTCGTCACGTAGGCCACTATAATAGACTACATTTACCTTAACCAGTCATGTGCTACTTGTCATTATCTACACTATATGTTTCACTTATACTTGTTACTGTTGACTTAGACTACTCGATATTCTAATGATATACTTTTCAAAAGTTAGGCAAGCAGTTCATTAGGTCGGATAGTTGTGACTACATTGTTTAAGGATTTAAACATGGTATTATGCTAACAGTATTTTAGATGTAGGAATAAATTAGTCATCGGAATGTATTTTTTAGTCTGCCAAAGTTCGTTGTTTTTTTCACATTTTTAAGATTTTTACTATGATACTTATTTCCACAATGTAACATTCATACTACGGCATAGGATACTTACTTTAATTTTTTGTCATGACATTAGTTAAGCAATTTACGGTTAAGAAAAATTGTGCAACTAAAAAATTTTTAATTTCAGAAAATAAATGAAATTGTTATAATACCTTCTGTTAGCGTTTCAATAAGAAATATACAATCGTAGGTTCTTATTAACAGTTGCTATCTGCTACTGCAGTGAGTTATCTTATCGACTGCAAAGTAATTACTTACTAAATTATTGATATCGGTACATTTTCCATTGGTCACTAAGTCCCAACTCTCCAACTAATTTTACACAAGTGCATCGAAACTGATTCTTATTTGAATACAACATTGCACAAATCCTAAGTCCCTTAGTAATATTTTATCATCCGTTACTTGGCACTTCTTACCTAATAAAATAATATTATGTTATTATCATAAACTATAACAATACACCAATATTCACAATTTTAGAACAATGAACTGTGTAAGTGTATATCTAAGTGATACAGCAACATACGAACAGTAAGATTACAAGGCAAGATAACTACGATTTCCATAATCTACTTAACAAAGATAGTTACAACATACAACGATCTATATTCTAGTAGTTTCTGAACTGCTGCATTAACAAAGAAACCGTTACAGCAAATGCGAGAACGTGAATTAACACAGTAATAATACGAGCAACACTTCTTATTGAGATGGACCCGAGGCGTCCCACCGGTGGGAGCCGAACAAAGAAGCCGGCCGGCTTGCGGCCGCGCGCCGGCTCAGAGCGACGTGGAGACGTCCTCCACGGACCGCGGCTCGGCACAACTGGCGCGCGGGGCCCCCTCTGCGGCCCGCGGAGTGTCCCCCCGTACCCCCGCCTCGGCCCTCTATAAAACTTGCTCCGGTCCCCGGTTAACGTCAGTCCGTCACAAAGAGCGACAGGGTTGGGTGGGTCAAATAGTGAGCCGTGGGCGAGTGACGAAGCCCTATGGTTACGAGATCAGATCTGATGCGGTCGTGAGCTTCGGACATTTTTATCAATTTCCCATCGATCTCTGACGATAACTAGTCGCCGGTGGTGTTTAGCCGGTTTGTTCAGTGCGCATTCGCAGTACAAAAGAGACTTGTGATATTTTTCTACTAATATTAAGTTCCGCAGCGGAACGTTTTTTTGTCGTTTAAAAAGTGTACAATATAAGTAAAAATTTGGAAAACATGGAGATCCTGCCGGTCACGAATCAGTTTGTCGGATTCAATAGTGAAAAAGGTGAGTTGACTTTCTATTCGGAGTAGCGAGGCGAGGGAGGGAAGTGGCTTTCTAACCGGCTGACTGTGTTGCTATGCGGCGCGCGCACTGCGCTCAGCCGCCCGTCACTAGCTTAGTGCCCACACTGGGAGCACTGAGCCTTACCTTGCACACCAGCACATCCAGCTCCCTATACTTAATCTAATAAAGGAGAGAGCAGCAGTGTGCACCGGCTCGGGGCCCAAACGTCAGTATCAGCTGACGTGTCAGCTGTTCCGCTGCGCCGCACTCCCTCGCCCTTGGTGCGCACTGGCTCGATACATATATATTTGCGTTAACTTTGTTATATTCATGTAGTTACATTCCGATACTGGATTAAGATTAAAAATAATTGGTAAATTAAACCATTTAACTTTTTTTAATTACATGAGTGACAACTAACTAAACAGTCCAATTAGGATCTTATTAGGATATAAACAGGTTGTTGGATAGATATATAATGTTTGTTTTGTATTGTTATAGCTTGGAATGGGCCTACATGGCGGGAAGCACCGGTCCCGGTGCCGACGGAGGCGGCGCTGGCTCAGAGGCTGGAGCGCGAGCTCCGAGCAGCGAAAGGAGCCAGCGAGCTGGCCACCGCCGAGGTGCTAGTACCTGCTGAGCTACTGGCCAGGGCATCTCGGCAGACGCTGGCGTTAGCCGAGGGCGAGCCCTGTGGGTCCCGAGGGGCGGCGGTCATAGTTGACGTCGCGGGCAGAAGATTAGCAGCTTTCAAAATAGACCCCAACACTTTAACCACGCACGAGATACATCTACATCTGGAACATGATGCCACGAACTGGACTAGCCTGTTGCCGCAATTCTTAAAGTAAGTTGATCTCCGGAGTGGAGCTCATTTCAATCAAGTCTATTGCATTAGTTCACTCGACTGCATAGCAACAGTGACAGCCGATGCTAACGGAATCTCTCTTTTGTTACAGAAACTTAACGCGAGGCGGCACCATCATCATCAGCCCCCAGTTCACGATAGAAAAGAAGAAACTGTTCAGGAGCCAGGCAGAGTGAACAGGCCTGTGATATGCGCGTGATGCGAGCGAGCCGACTGACAGCCCTCCTCGATATCTACGTATCGTTATTTTAACAAATATCATATTATTATATATTATATTAATTATTATATATTTTTAATAAGAGAAAAAAGCACAGCGTGATATGTAACGTATAGATGTAGTATAAGCGCGCGGAAGAGCGCAGGTTTAAGTTAGCCGGCTGCTGTCGCGGGCACGGTCGATAGTGATGCGAAATGCACTTTGTTATCGATAAAGTGTCGATATTCGGTCGCTGGTCGAGCGTGCCGGCGGCGGCGGACGTGCGTGCGCCGGCGCGCGGCGGCGAGCGTCGATCTCGCCCCCTCCCCCCTGGACGTCGGTTGTCTTGTCTGCCCACCGCTGCGCTCGCCCCCCCGCGCCGCTCGTACTTATGTTAATCATTGTATGATCATTGTTCGTATTTTGGATATTTTAATGATTGTGAGTCGTGCTGGTTGGTCGCGTGAGTGGCGTGGCGGCGTTCGTGCGCACCCTCTGATCTCAGCCGCCGCCGCGCGTGTGATACTGATACCCTGAACGATATAGTCTTAGGTATTATTTTTTGTTTCGAGTTCGATTCTATTCTGAAGTTGCGTAGAGTTGGTATTTTCATGTATCGTATTTATTAGAGGCGGCCTCTGTAGAGGTCCGATATGTGTACGTTTTTCGTAATTGTACTAGTTTGTACATTTGTTTGTGATACTACTTTTGTAATGTATAAAAAATTATGCGAGAAAAATATTACTTTTTATGAATGTGAAAACATGAATGCAGATTTATAAATATTAGAGATGTGTATCATAGTGAGGTGAGTAGGGAGGCAGCAAGGGGCGCGGCGGGGCGGGGGCGCAGGCCGCGCGCGCGCCCCCGCCCCGCCGCCCCCAGCTGCAGGCAAAAGATCTCAGGTTATATTATTGATAGTTATTAAAAGTATTAAGTTATTTAAGTTAATATAAAATGAATTTTTTGTAAGATTATTTTCTATCGCCGCGCGAAGCTGCGTTACTTTAGTCCAGTGGGTGATAAGATACATTTGTACTAACAGTACAATATAATTGACGATTTGTTAATATTGCAGATTGCATTTTCTTCATCCAGTGTAATTACTACATTAAATGTAAATCAATAGACTAACCGTTTTTAAACGAAATCTAAATGTTTGTAGGGTCCAGTGTTTTAAACGCACAATATCATAGTACTAGAGTTCACTTTCATCGATAAATAAAAAGATTTTAAAAAGCTACAAAAACATTTTACTTCTAAAACTTGAAATGTCGACATATACAAAAACTAACAATAATAATAAATGTATCAATTGTTTATAATTGATATTTATTTCATAGACCGTAAAAGAAAATGTAGAAATATTGAAGAAAAAAAAAATACATAGTTTCAAAATGGAAAGCTGTTGTTTCAATACCCAACCCTCTCCCGCAATGTAATGTGAAAAGTACCCAACGACCACAATGGTCACAGTCACAAACAAACACACACATACACACATCGAAACATTTGCTCGCACAAACGAAATGCTTCACAATAAAAGATTCCATACAGATGACACTAAAAAACAAAGAATGAACATCGTTTCCATACATTATCATAAATTTAAAGCTAGGTAAAAACAAGCAGAGGCAGAGTTATATTTTAATAAGACCGGTTGGGACCGGTTGCGACCGGTTCAGGAGGGGCCTCGCTACAGATTGGTGCAACCCCATCCTCGAGTGTTTTTTGTATAATTAGCAAGCATGGACGAGCCTGTACAGTTTCTATATACATGCTCAGCATGTTGCTTCCATGTGTAGCTGCATGTACAGCACGAATGTAGTCGGCATCTAAACGCTGACTCGCTATATGTGCAGATTGCGATATGAGATAAATTGCATTGCCTGCCCGCGTTGGTGGATGGTGCCAAATAGCTTTGATGTGCCTCGATAATGCAAGAACAGCTATATGGATAAAATGTAGGTTCTTATCCTCGAACGCTGAGTTTGCGTTTGCTGTAAATTGGCATCGCTTTTTATGATCGTGCTCTATCGTAGACTCAATCTTTTTATTATCTCGCCTTCAGATCGTTTTATAAACAACATCGGCTGCCACACACTGTACGACTAGCTCAGTAATATTTGTCTATCAAAGAGTTGTACACAGTCATTACAGAGTGTGGAGCAATCAACAATTTTCATTTGGTTTTTATTCTTTCTTCGATCTTTTTTTGTTAATTTTACCGAACGTGTCAAGTTTTTTATATCCCAATGTGCAAAACATAAAATAAATTCGTTCCGTTCGAAGTAAACAAATTAACACGCAGAGGTCTTTGTATCGATTCAGAAGAAATTGGACCATTTGACATAGCAACACGTTTTGGTCAAAATGCGCAAGCAATAATCGTCGTTATTTCGATGCTACTACAGGCCAGAATCCTGTGTATTGAGAAATAACCGGACGGTTTTGCCAAACATAAATTATCACTTTTAATCTGCAAAAAATAGGCAACAACTTCCGAATGTGTGACTAAAAAATTATACCTCGCAGTGTTCGTGTTCCTACTATCACTTGTGGATTATTTAATTTAGATCCAACTACAATTTTGATACGAACTCATCCTATCCATTCAAAGAACAAAGGGCCGCGAGGGCGTTATTTGTAGGTGAGAGTTTATTACACAGTAATTGTTCAGGCTCCTTACTTCTTCTAATAACATGAAATCTCATGATTGGTGCAAGATTTAATTTTATACCAAAACAAGGGTTATTTAACTTTCTAACCGCAAGCCAACGACATGATTGTTGCAATGAACGTGACGCAGCAGACTGTATACTTGTACACTTCGGTACCATTATCGATGTTTGGACGCTCCGAGCGTTGCTCAGCACTAGCCATCATTAGTCTCTATAATAATTATAATTTTGTAGAAAATAAAAACTTTGACATTTGCTTAGACCTTTAGCCCTTCGCTACATTATGATTTCTATGTAGGTATATGTGTCTGTGTTTGTATAATTATGTATACCAGTACCCTGGCACATCAAAAGAATATCACAAGCACTAAACTGAAATCAATTTTATAAGAAATTGGAAAGCATTGATTATTGTTACTAGGCGAGGCTTGCTGTGATACGCAAACGCGACACAGAGCGCCATCTGTGAGCCGCTCCTGTAACCATACACCTACTGAAAGTACTGAAAACGAATCTCATCAGAAACATGGAGTTCCGTTATTTTTACAGACACTCAATAAAATTATCGTATCAAAAATATACGTTCAAAACTCGTTGAATGTAATATGAACCTTGTATCAAGCTGTTAGATCACATTTCAGTCGGGCAGTGTTCAGTGGATATGTTTAGTTTAGCTATTTGCTCAGTAAGGTATTATTGATCCAAGTGTTGCTAACGCCGAGCTTTTTATGTCATTACAAACATAATATTAAAATTTATAGTAATTCCAGATTTTTCCAAACTTTGTTTCTACGATTGTTATTATATTACTTGGCGATGTTTTGATCGGACCAGTGGATATTATTGTTGGATGATTCATCCACGTCCACATACATTAACATTAATTAATGTTATTGAGTTGAAATATGACAACATTTGTCTTTATGGTCTCGTTGGATAAACATATAGCTGCTTAGCGTGTGATAATAGGTTCGATTCCACAATGTATTACATTGGCACATTTTCACTTTCTGGTGATTGTCGAATATGTACCAACAGCTGACAATAAAACACAATCTGCAAATACCCCTTTATTAACGGGTAACAAATACATACTCGACTTACACATTCAACCAGTGTATCATGGTCTCACTTCATATAATCATTCCGCACATTCGACGGTCAGTTTATGCTGGTTGATGCAGCTTGAGCTGTTGCCGTGTGTACCTTTGTCCCCCAAGTTGTTAGGAGATAAGCTGGTAGTAGGGCATGTGGTACCCAGCAGGGGTGTACATCAGCCGGGAATAGAAGGGGTGACCGTCATAGATTAGGTAACGGTCGCTTACTGCTGATACCAGGCGGTAAAGTGTCCTATGATTGTGTTGCTATGGACAAACATATGACATTGTCCTTGTATTTATGTAGTTGTATAAATAATGAGTAATACATACTATACAAATATAAATTAAAGGTATAGACGCCAGTATGTGAAGCTATGCTGACGTGACGAAATTAAACATCGGATTTTCAAGCTTTTCATAACATAACAT